GATTTCAACCATCATTGTAAAAGCATGTGTTGCTCAACCGTTTGTCAGGAGACTAAGAGCAATGTTTAGCATACCAAATGAGGAGACTTTGAACACCACCTGGGTTCTATATTTTCAACTTTCTTCAGCTAGAGAGCAGCTGATTCAATACTCTGATGATTGTATGTGTGTGTGTTTTTAACTGAAAGGAATGAACATTATATTGTTAATTTCAGGCAACCAATTCACGTCAAGGAAGAGCCATTAAACACGGAAGATGAGGAGTGTCCAATGTCATTAGTGACAACAGCCAATCACAGTCCAGAGCTGGAGGAGGACAGAGAAATTGAGGAGGAGAACTTATCTGAGGAGCTGGAGTAGCAGAGGACTTAAGAACTGCAGCTACAGGGTCACTTCACAGGACTCCATAACCACTCCACTACGAAGAATATACAGCAGACTTTTTTACTGTGACTATTTATTGAGCATGCATCAAGGAGACAGCCTAAAGGAACTATTTGTTACAGCCCTTTGGGAACCAGAAATGATGAGCATAAAATGCTTGGTTTTTAAACTATAAAGACTGATTTCCTTATAAACTCAAATGGCTCGGCCATATAAAAAAAAAGATTTGGCTAACATGGGTTCATGGATTGAATGAAAACGAGGAAGTCTGTTCTGTAGAAAGCTAATGGCCTCATATACTGCCAAAAATAGTTTTAGTTTCATTCAGTGTGAATTTCCAACCTACAGTAGTTGTTATATTAGAAACAATTGCTGATCCAGTTCAAGTTGTTGCTGTTTTATCATTTGCACAGGAGTAGTATCAGAAATTAGTGTCACTGCCTGTATGTAGCTGAAGTTTTAAATGGACCAGTATTTTTTTATGTTTGTTTTAATTTTGGCGCCACCAACTGTAAATGACATTAGTTTCCAATAACAGAACCACAGTTTTCAGACTGTTGCAAGTTTGAACTGTCCAAAAAAAGTAGGCTTCCAGTCTTTCTATTTGTGCTGAAGTGAAGTGTGATCTTAAGTTGAAAACGTAATTGTTTGTGCAAGCACTGTACTGAAAAAAATGTACTTCTGCATATTCTACAACTGTTCTCTTTACCTCCTCGTTTTGAAGCTTTGTCTACCTGCAAACAGTCAAAGGCAACAGCTAGAAACCAAAGCCAACTCTAACAATGGCCAATAGCTCAGACAGAAGCAGCCACAAGCTTTGGTCAGCCTTCTGTAACTTTAATTAGTACAAAGGATGCTTTCCAAGAACTACCTTCTGAAAACCTCTGGGATTGTTTCATTTAGCCCTGTACAAAGAAAATCAAATGATTTTGATGTGTAATTTGGTAAATAGTAGTGAGTCCACCTTAAATGCAGCAGAGATCCGCCTGCATTTATGGAAAGAGAAGGTATGATGTAAATTAAAAATAAGTGGAAACTGGTAGGAAGCAGCTAAATGTGGATCATAAATATCATTGACCAAAACAACATTTGTGTATTTATTGGAAGTGCAGAATGTGTACTGTTGTATAATTCCAGATTGGTTTAATTTACATTGCCCATTTTGTCATTGTTTTATAGTGAAAATGTAATGTTAGTGGGGCTGTCTTGTATGTTTTGTGTTTTACTTTTTTGTACAAGTTGTTCAGTACCGTCTTAAATGAAACTGAAAACATAGTAACCAAACATTTAAAAGATCTAGTAAAGCCAAAAACGTAATAATAATTTCAAGTTAATATGAAATGATCTGGCTTGGATTTCAAGTAAAAGCAAAGAATTATAGCCATTGATGTGTAGGATGTCTAAGGTGAAAATAACCTTTTCTAGGTGATATTTGCTTAATTTTTCTAGGTTTTTAATACAAAAAATACTGTATATTAATTATTTATCCATTTCTGTAAACATACAGATGTAGCTCTGGATAAATAAGTACATTCTTTAGCTGCACCAATTTCAAATTAACAATATTTATACAAAAGTAGTGGTTTTACAATAATTTGGACTTTGTTTGGTAATTGTTGAAATGTATTTAATTTTATTTATTTTAGCTGATGTCATCTAGAAAGGTTGATGTGGTTGCTTTAATGGTCATTTCTGTTTTCAGTCAAACCAAAGTTACACAAAATTCTGCCTCTTCTTATATATGGGATAGTAAAGCTAACAATACACTCCCTTTTAAAGACTTGCACACGGTCCAAATTGTTGGTATGCTGGCTTTCTTGGTCCTTGTTTTGCTAAAACTACCAATGCATAAAAAATTTTCTAATAATTTGTAATAATGCATTGCATTGTATTTAAAATACAAATGTATGTCTACTTTGTGCTTATAAAAACATATTGTATATATATTTTGCTTTTCAAGTGCTGTGCCAAGTCTTTGTAATCCTTTACTTTTTTCCCCCAACCAAGGGACCTCATAACCTGATTATGGTTATTGCTTTACAAACAGTTTTTGACAGAAGGTGGCTGCTAGAGCTTAACACACACACCAGTTCCATGGGAAGGAGCTGGTTCTTGCAACTAAGCTCATCATTTATTCTTTGCTGGAGTCAGCAAATAGACTTAAAGACATACAGAATCATCTATCACACCAAATATAAGGACACAATGTCTTTCAAAAGGGTTCTCCCACTCACCCAAAAGGCTTTGTAAAAGGTTCTACCTCTGCACAACAAATTCAGAACAATTATGACAGATTGCACGAGTCGTAAGAAAGCCACAATAGCTGTTACATTGTATTGTGCTCGTCTTAAAGACATGATCAACAGAAGGTTTACATTCCCAACGTTAGAAATGGAAGATTTGCATTGTAATAGGTTGTCTTCAAACATTTGTAGAATGATAATTTAAAAAGATTACCTGCAAGGGAGTATTGTGTTGTCAAATGCATGTCTAAAATACTTTGGTGGACTGGAAAAAAAAAGACGTAATCATTTTACCATCAGGAAGGTGGCCTAAGTGTACAATGCTAAAGTATGCATACCTCAGCTAAACTACTTTTTGGGAAGGAAAATAAAGTCTCAGCCACAGAATGCATATAACCTGTAGATTTTGCATGGGTTTTGTATAAATACTGTTTAAAATAGCTGCTTGCACATAATACCAGAAAAACCTCCAAAACTGCAATTTGCTTCTACACTAGATTTTAGGTTTGTTGGGGTTTTCTGAGATGCTTTGTCTGTATTTTGATAATTGTGCATATTATGTAAAAATGTTGGTGGACCCATAAATTACCAGACTTTTTTCTAAGAAAAAATAATGTTGCTTTAATGCATTTCATGAATTTTTACTCCTATATCATCGCTCGCTAGGAATAGCAAACCTGCTTTTTCTGCATCTGCTTTGCGTAGCTGTTGTAAGGCTTTAAACTAATATGTGTATTTATTGCTTGAACTTCTGTGCATACTTTATGAAGCATTATGTCCGGCGATTGAGTCATGTATACTTTCTACTATCATACGCTGATGACTGGGAATATGCTCCCTATGTATACAGTAAATTTTAACTGTAGCACAAAACATCTGTTTATGTATTTGGTGGATACCTTTTTATTTATCTTTTTTGAGGTAAACTAATTTTTGATACTTTTCATTACTGTGTACTGTGTTCATACCTTGAATTCTCTGACATTAGAAGTCATGGTTAAGAATTGTAACAACTGTTATTTGTTCTGTATTCATGGCTTTTCACTGCTGAATAAAATAAAGGACCAAAACTAGGATTTGAAAAGCAACTGTCTACCTCCAACATCAGGGAGTTACATGTTTTTTGTACATGTATATATATATTTTTCTTTCTGCAAAGCCACAAACATGAAAATCCAGTGGGCATAAGACTTTTATGGAATGTAAAGAAATTCATAGCAAGGCTGAGGCGTGTGAAAAAAGCAATTAAAATTTCATGGATATGTTACAAGCCTTTGTTCAAACTACCACTACCTTGAGTTTTCTTGAGATCACTGGAACACAGGAGACTATTGTCTGCCCACTGGGTCTGCAATACGATATGTGCATAGGTGCATGTGGCTCTTTGATCAAGAGCCTTGCACCCAGAAAAAGTTTAATGGAAGGTTTTCTTCTTTTAGCATAGGGTATCCTTGCTGAAAAATGGGAAAAGCTTCTAAACTGCTTCACTGTGCTTGAGCCCAAAAGGTTTAGTTCTCAGAGACTAAGTGGTATGTGGTACATGTTTACTTAGTGCATGTCCATGGCTAGCAAGTAGAATTTATGCAGTGGAAATAAGACATTTAGCCATCCATGCATAAAGAGCATGATGTTGTCTATTCACATTGTCTTCAAAATTGCATTTTCTCTACCATAGTGATTGTAGATTTTGCAACATAACATCACCAGGGACCAGCTAATGTACAAATTAGACTTTCATGTAACTTAACCACTTTTAGGACCTCCAAGGCTTTTTTCAAGAAATTGAAAATAGGGCTTATACTCAGATGTCTGTAGAGATAAAGGCGTGAGGCGTGCAAGCCAGGTTAAGAATGAAAAACACAGTTGTCCTTCTCATTTATAAGGTCTGTATTGGCAAATAAACTGGACTACCGAAGGAATCGCAAATATTGCTGTGCAGTTAAACTTATTTTAATAATAAAAAGTGGTTATGCTGTTTACATGGTGTATTGGTTACCATTACCGTTTTTACTTTACTATTTGTAAAAGTTATGTACCCCATTTTTTTCCGAGGCACTCAATACACAAGTTGGCACGCATTTCATAAAGTCTGATTTTTCAACATTGAGTATGCCTTTTTTTCCCATTGTAGATAGTTTTGATAATGCAGCTTACTGTTGCAATGCATATAACAGGGCAGGTATCTGAATCATTCTGTTGTTGAGATGAGTGTTGAAAGGAGAGGTGTTAATACGAGAACTGGTTTTTGTTTTCATCTCCAAATAGGAAGATTGAAAAGATTGGTTTAGATTTGACTAATGCATGGCATAGATACTGTATGTATTGTAGGTCACCTACACTGGTATTTTAATTGGTTTCCAAAGGTGGTACAGATAATTTGGAGATGTACAAAGACATACAGTTCAGATTGTCATAGTAGAAAACGTATAAACAGTATCTCTGTATTGAGCCATGCTGTACGTACTGTAAGTAGTTATGTTATGCGTGGAATTACATTATAACATTGAGTTCATGACCGACATGCTCCCGTTATTTTTTTCCAAAAGCTTGTTGTATAACAACTTCATTCATGCAGCAGACCTGTAATGAACTCTATAAACCTTCTCAAACATTTCTTGTGTATTCATTAAACCCAAGAAGAACTGAATTCTCAAAACTGCCATTATCGTTATAAACAAGGCTGATGTATGAATATTAGTACTTTTCTGATCTACATACTGTAATTATGTCTTTTGTAATGTGTTGTTTATGCCTAGTATGTACTCTACAAGCGGTACTACCGTGTATTAGAGTACAATGATTATTGAAACTCGTGATGCAGTTTAAGGAGGGTTATTGGTTAAAATGAGCATGAAACTCATGATTTCCACTGATCTCACAGGAGACTGTCAATCAGGCAGTTCTATGTGTCTGGTGGGTGGTGGACAGAGCAGTTACAGTTTACAGACTTCAAAACTACATTCAGAATATTTCAGAACTATAATATTCACTCGCCCACGTATCGTCTTTCATCAATACACACGTTTACTTATCAGACTATTTGCATCCCCGTCTGTGTTGGAATGTAGTACAGTAATTTAGTACAGAGATATTTGTCCTTATTTTTATCTTTTAATATAGTAGATTGTCATGTAACATGTTATTTAACACTCAATGTTCAATCAGTACTACTAGGAAAATATACTGTACAGTATGTATAAATTAGGAACTGTCACATTTTTTTATGTTATATTTCCCCAGCATTATTTGAATGCTGTTATATATGAACTGTTCTTTTAGAAACAGGTAAAAGGTTAAAAAAAAGGTAAAAAGGAACCTTCATATTCAATGATTAGGTTTTACGTAATCCAGTATTTTGCTCATGATTCTGTTATAATTCATTCCATAAAAATACCCTTTCTGCTGAAACTACAAGTTGCGCTCTCCAACCTCCACCCAAACAGAGTTTTAGTTTTTGGAGACTTTACAACCATTCTTGTCTACTTGATAGTCATTTTCTTGGCTGATAATATATACCTATGAGAAATTTTACACAAAATGGTAAGGAAAATACTAAATCATAGGATTCTCCTAAACTTATTATTTGTTTCAGAACATGGGGACATTTTTCCATTTTCAAAAATGTCAAAAAGGTTAATTTACGCAGTCTATTAATTCACCTTTTTCCTTAAAATTGCAATTGGTAAACAAAGAAACAGTTCCCTCTACCTACTAATCCTCACCAGCCTAAAACATGGAAAACTTTACTTTCTTAATTGTTTCAGGTAGTTTTTGGTTTTTTTTGTTGTGGCTTTTTTGTCACTTTCCTTTGCTCTGTATAGGTAATGTGGTTTAGCTATTTCTGATTCTCAAATATCAGTAAACAGCTAGCTAGTACATTTAGAAGAAGTTGTTGCTTTTGTGTTTATTATAGCTGCTGTTTTTTGATCATACACTTTGAAATATTCAAATACATTGATATATACAAAACACTTCATTTTTCTCTTTTTGATTCCACAGATACACAGAATTAAAACTCTTAAAACTTAGGTTTAATTTGGTTAAACCAACAGTTCTACATCTACTAGCAGATAGAGAAAGAACACTACAGTATGTACAATAATGTCAGTATTAAACCTAAACATTTCAAATTGCCCCATGCCAGGCAATTTGTTCTGCAGATTTCCCTTCCCTAGTAAATTCCCTTTATGCTGTTTTTAGATGTTCATTCATTAAGCTGAAGAAGCATGCTTGGCAAGTAACAAGAAATACTCAGTAATACACAACATCAGAGACAACTCCTAAACAGTGAAATGTGTGCAATAGTATAGTCTTTCCTTTCAATGGCAATTAAATATAAATGTGCAGTAGATTGTGTGTATATATTTCACTGCTTTTCCTAAAGCTTTGTTATTTACCATGCAAAGATGGCAAAAAGTCCCGTGAATTTTTTGTCCTTAAATAAAAAACTGTGCTAAAATAAAAAGGCCCCACAGAAGATTTAATGGGAGGGAGGGATCAGAATAAGTCCCTTTCCATAAGTTGCTCTCCTCTAGTTAGTAATAGATAATGTATTCTCTCTGTGCTTATGATGACTAAAACTATATCAGTGCATTGTGTAGCAGTAAAGAGTTGTTGATGTACACTATATTTCTGAATGTGTGTGCAAACATCTACCCACAAAGTGATTAACATGAGAAGTTCATGTTAAGTTAATCTTTTTGCACAGCCTTGCATATGTGTGCCTGTGTAGCACTGTCCTGTAACATTAACCAAACAATTGTGATAAAGAGCCAGCACAATTGTGCCTTAATTTCTTCCCCAATCCCATTCACACACCACAAGAAATGCAGCACTTCCATTTCTTTAAATCTTCTGCAGAGCCTGAATTTGCAGGTTGTGTGATCACAGCATAGTTTGACAGACTGTGGAATTTGACAGAATGGATCAACCACAAAGTTGTCTCAAAATGTTTTTTAATTATAGTCCCTGTAGCTTTGCAGTAATTTCTGAACTTGTTTTTTTTTAAAACATCTAAAGGAACAAAAATAAACATTTTGCAGTATTTAACAATATAGACATCACTGATTATATAATGGGAAGACTTCCAGTTCATTGCTGGCCATATCTCAGATTGAAAACTTAATGAGAAATTTAAAACATGCTTTTGCTCATTTATAACAGCCAAATGCATCAGCGTCAGATGGCAAAAAAGATTCAAAAGTAGCATACTTTTGAATACTAGCAAACAAATACACCAAAAAGCCTTTTTTGAAAATGGTTGCATCTGGAGGCCAAATTAAAAGCACCCACTCTGGCTGAGTCCCTGAGTTCCCCTTGGGATGGTGGAAGAGATCAGAGCTGTGGTGCACAGCAACAAAAGGCCTTGTCAGCCATAGAGTGTGGGGTAATGTGCCACAACACAATAAACCAGGAGCTGAGCAGAGGTCGGCAGAAGCAAAAAGCTCACTGGCTAGGTTCTGGAGATTTGTGTTAATCTTATCACAATTGAGATGCAAAAAATAGAATGTCATCCAATCTCTTAATTCAGAAATACAGTTGGAATGCTGGCATAGGTACCTGAAATTAACATTAATCAGACATTGATTTAACTTTCATTTGCATAAAAGTGATAATTCTGCAAAACGCCAAACAGCACAGGGACCAGTACTGAACCCATGTGGAACACCAGATGTAACCCAATCCAGCCTGTCAAACCAACAAGAGAAATAAAATGTTGACATTCAATAAAATATGCATAAAAACTTTTTAAGGTTAGTATCAAAGATACCACACAAATCCACTAACCCATTCATTAGAATGTCATGATTTTTATAGTACCAAACGTAGCACTAAGATCTGAGAAAATGATGCACTCAAATCAGCTGCCAGGAGGAGCTCTTTCATAGCTTTTTCTAGGAAATAAAAATGAGATCAAAGTGGAAAACAAACATGCCTTCTTTTAAGGGACCAACTGCTGTTAACTGAAGAATGCTCTACTGACAACAAACCTTTGTCATTTTCAACCAGTTTTACTTTTTTTGTACCAGATGGGAAATTTACCTGCAGGCAAGTAAAAGGCATAACACAACACA